AAGTCATAATATGTATCGATTTCAATAAATGGATAGGTATATAGACTTGGATTCTGTCACTTAGAACATACTCATAAATGGATATTGCCAGCATGGAGATGCAAAGAAAGCATTTGCTTTGCACGACGAAATGGTGACCGATCAGGAATGAAGCCTGATCTTGTGATGATTAATGCCTTGGCGGATGGTCATTGTGCTACTGGTAACATGAACCATGCATTCTCGCTGCTCAAGGAGATGGATAATATGAGAATGGATCCTGATGATGTGACGTACAATTGCTCGATGCGAGGGCTCTGTGGAGAAGGAAAATTTGAGGAAGCTCGTGAGCTGATGGGGGAGATGGAGAGAAGAGGAACTCAACCTGACCACGTTAGTTACAACACTCTAATAAGTGGGTATAGTAAGAAAGGGGATGTAGAGCATGCTTTCATGGTCCGGGATGAGATGCTGAGCCTCGGGTTTAATCCCACTCTTCTCACCTACAATGCTCTTTTAAAGGGCTCGAGTGAAATCGCAGAGGAGCTGCTAAGGGAAATGAAAAGTGATGGCACTACTAATGACAGTACCTACTGCTCTGTAATTGAGGCAATGTCTAATTTGGATCAGAATGCACAAAAAGCTGATACTTGATTGATCATTGCAAACCAAAGACCACTGTAAGTTTGCTGAAAAGTTGGGGATGGAAGATCTGCGGCTTCATAGTGAAAGAGTAACACAGCTCTGAATGAGCTTTGCTTCTGGAGAACTGTAACTTGGTTGTTTCAGATAGGATTATGCCTGAAAAACTCGATTCTTCCGAGTTATGATGTAACCTGTAAATGGTTCGCAGGTTCTGTTGCTTTAGCTATCATACTCGAGTTCGAAACCCCTCTTTGATAACAAAAAAAACAAAGTTTTATGTATTTCAGAAACTTGATTTTACATCTGCCTCAAATTGAATTTCAATATAACATATTAAAAGCATTTTGGTTCCTGAATATAATAATAACTAAGAGTAAGGTAGAAAGCAAATTAAAGTCTCAAGGCAACAACAAACACACAACATATTTAAATAGGTCCCAACACATTAATCTAAGTCATAACATAAAACCAAAGACACTATCTATTAAACAACAAAGTCCTTTACTCAGCCGCTTGATTTCCAAAACAAACCATCATCACGAGTGACTCTACTCTCGGTTATTGGACATCGAGACGCAGCTCGGTGGGGTTGATGATGGTGAATTCGCAATCGTTTCCGATAATCAGTGGATACTCCTTAACTGCACGCGGCCATCCACCACCGAAGGTTGCACACGTCTTCCTCTTCAAATAAAACACGTGCCATGACTTGTTCATATCTTGGTCATGTATCTTCAACTTTGTTCTCCTCTCTTTCATATAATCTTTTGCAAAAGTTTTCGGGATCGTCTGGACATAAACCAATACACTTAAACATACTCTACGTATTGGTTTATGTTCAGACGATCCCGAAAAGAACAAAGCTGAAGATACATGACAAGATATGAACAAGTCATGGCACGTGTTTTATTTGAAGAGGAAGACTTGTGCAACCTTCTGTGGTGGATGGCCGCGTGTGGTTAAGGAGTATCCACTGATTATCGGAAACGATTGCGAATTCACCATCTTACCAGGAATTTGAAGTGCGATTTCTTGATGGTGATGCTGAATCCAGTAGCAGAAGAGGACGTGTCACCATCAGAACCTCTCACCTTTGTCTTACTCCTCTTGGAAGTTTGGGATTCCTCAACTTTCGTATTTCCAAGGTTGAGCCTTCCTCTTCCGGTAGATCGAGCTGTTGTTGCCGGCTGAAGACAATATAACTCAGAGGACACTACTACATCTTCCTTCTTGACATCACCGTGGACGCCCTCCCTGTTTTCTGTCTTAACTCGGTCTGTTTCATCGTCAAAATGAAAGAAGAATCAATGCATGTATATGTTGTCTAGCTAGTTCACTGTTTTTATATAGCATAAATTTCAAATCTTACTTGAAGAAGCTAAGAAAGGCGCGGTTTGTCGTGGTTGGATCATCTCCCTGCCATCTTTGTTGAAGATGTTCATAGCAAAATGCATCTTTCCTACGTGAGTGAATGTAATAAACTCACCGTCTCCCAAGAAATTGTCCCTTACGAACTTCTCCCATCCAGCCATCTCCGTAAAGAAGAATCTCGGGTTTTCGGAGATGCTCACTTTCCGCAATCTTCCCCAATCGGCTTTGATCTTCATCTCACGGGAGAGATCAGTTTCAGACAAGGTTCTCACGAAGTAGTGAGGTAGAGCTCTCTGTGATTTCACACACAAGATGAGGAACATCAGTTAACTTTCTACACATCAATCAAAGTATTTGAGTCCAAAGTCCAATCACACACAAATGACAAAAGCCCAACACAGCATTACAAAATAACAGATGCCAGATCTTATCAAGAAGAAACAAAGATGAATAACAACGCATAGATCCTCACATTCACAAAGACAAGCAACAAAGCTATGTTATTTTTCTTAACAAAGAAACTTCATTACTTTTTTGAGACCCATAAAGACCGAGAACTCAAACTAAAAGAAAGAAAACCAGAGAACCAAACGGATCCAACTTTTCAGACACAAAACTAAAAGATCTAACTTTCAAGACCCATTGTTACATAGAATCAGTGAGTTTTCTGAGACCCCTAAAGACAGAGAAATAAAACATTCAACTTATAAAGCTCACAGCTAAAAGATCTAACTTTCAAGACCTGTTTTTACAGAGAATCAGTGAGTTTTTTTTTTTTAGATTCACAGAGACAGAGAACCAAAACATTCAACTCTTCAAAAACACAACTAAAAGATTCAAATTTCTTACACCCATTTCTTAAGAGAACCAAAAAGATTCAACCTTTCCAAACAAAGCTAACAAGAAACAGCATAAATGAAGTCTGTGTTGGGATATCAATCAAAGTCCCACATCCAAAGTTTAGACAATAATTGTCTAGTATATAAGTAATGTCCAACTCCAATTAGTATGAGGCCTTTTGGGAAGGAGCCCAAGAACAAATCCGTGCGGGCTTTGCTTCTGGGCCCATAGCGGACAATATCATACTAATGGGGGAGTTGGACATGGGCTTTAAAAAACCCCAATAGTCTGAAGAACATGAAGAGTTTTAAAAAGAGAGTTACCATGTTTTCGGAAGAAATGTCTGCACCCTGAAGAACCTTGACGAAGCTTGCCTTCTTCCTTTCTTCTTTGCACCCAAGAAAATCACTATTCTTGACCATTCTCTCTTTCGTTGGAAAATTCTTGCTCAAGCTTT